GATCGGCTTGCTTTTCAGCCAGCTTTACGGCCAGCTTTCCAGCCTGTTTTCCAGTCTGCTTTCCAGCCTGCTTTCCCGCCTGTTTCTTAGGCTGTCTTCCGGGCTTCTTTGGGGTCGGCTTTTCGATCTGTTTAGCAGGTTGCTTAGCGGCACGCCTTCCGGCCTTCTTCGGGGGCGTCTTCTCGGGCTCTGTGTCTGAATTTGACACAGCCCCAGCATCCAGTTCCTTGGCCTGTTTGGCACGCTCCCTATCGAAATCCTTTGGGCGCTCCCTACTGCACACTAGCAACTGGCAAATGTCGGCCGTTTTGTACAAATTCGTATTGTCAGCCGTTTTGTAGCTTTCAATAACTGTGGGCAGATCAACAAGTTTGGCGTGCAGCAGCTGATTATTTAGGTGCACCTCACCGTATCGCAGATCGTTATCAAGCTGAATGCTTAGTTTCTCATTGATGGTTTCCGCTTCTATAGCTTCGTGCACTATTTTGGCGAGGTCCTGTGCGAAAGGAAATCAAAAATATAGCTGGGGTTCGATAAAACCAATCAAATACTTATATTTTTACCTCCGGAAACCGAATTATAAACTGACTCTCCAGCTCTAGCTTATCAACTGGGGAATTTACCTGTGGCTGATTATTTTTTTTGGACATAGTCAGCTTTGTTTTTACTAACTGCAAATGAAGCACCTGTCAAAGTGGAAATTTTCATTGCAGTGCCTACAGTGTTGCTCAACGTCTTTGGCATATCGATAATACGCTGCGTATACGATATACTGGGGCTTTTGCCTCACAGCCTCACATTTGACAGCTTCCTTGCCTTCTGCTGCTGTCTCCTCTGATTGTTATACTCCTTCAGGGAGTGTGAAGAGCATATTAGTTTCGATGCAGCACTTTCAACACAATTGAAATTGGAGACTTAACTTGGTATATACATATGTATTTATATTCGCGGATATTTCGCATTCAATTTGGCACATAGTCTGTTTAAACTGTGTTTGGATTTAAGAGAGCATTACGCAGTCAGTTACATCCGACTGCAGCACTCGTACTAAATAATTAATTTCTATTGTCATTTTGACACTTCTTTCGATTTGAAGAATTTGACGATAATTCCGATCTGAAGGCATTAACAGTTCAGTTTCTATTCTTTTTCTATATATTTTTCGATAAACCACCGAGATGCTGTTACATCTTGAAGCCTTCACCATCTTTCCATTTCGCTCAACTTAAAAGGCAATGTCTCAAATGTCTTGCAATATTAATGAGGAAGTTGAAAAAATCTTTATATCAGAATAGTGAACTTTCGTTTTCAGCTGGCAGCACGCCTTATAGCCTATATTCCTATGCCATTTATGAATGTTTTTCCACTTATTTGCATACAAGCTGAAGTTATTTCGTGCTATTAATATTCCATTGCGTATTCGCGCGAGAATATATTCCATTTTTAATAACACAAAACTTTATAAAAATTTTATAAATAAAAGGCAAGTGTAACGCCAACAGCAACAACAAAAATCCATAGCCAAAAGGAGAGCTCAAAAGTCAAAGCAAACAAGCAAAGGGCAGAGCATAAGGCGATGCGGGTTGCAGGTTAAGGACTCCCAGAACTGCCAAATGGGATACACAGCGCCAAAGGTGGTGGAGCTGGAGCTGGGCGGGGTTGGGCAAAGCAACGGGATGAGCCAAGCCGAGTGGGTGGGCCAAAAAACAATTGAAATGTGAATATTAAATATACAAGTACAAGATTTTTGTATCCCTCCAGCAAGTAGTGCGCTGCCAGCAGACGCTGCGGTCTTTTCAGGTGCGGTTCGCACCGTCTGACGCCACCCCCAACCCCCCCATAGAAGGCGGCAACTCCCCGCGGCGTCATTGTGTGCATTGCGAGTGGCAACGAAATAAACCGTTTGATGGCATCCACGTTGGGCGCAACTGATTGATGTCGAGATTTGCTGGCTACCCTTTGACGCCTCACCACCTCTCTTATCAGAGATTGGCAATCAGCTTGCCAGATGCCGTCAAGCAAATACATCGAGATGATAAGCTGTAAGGCTGGCGCTTAAACATATTGTTGCCTGATCCCGTCAGCCAGCAAAGAATAAGTGTAAAATCATCTAACTAGATTTTGAATTTAATATCCGGGATGATAGTCCAAATGTCAGAAGTGTGCTCGAAATATCTTTCGCTGAAAATATGAAAAATGTTCGTATCGAGTAATTGTGTCACTTTTACTCTTGTAATGGGCATCATAGTCTTGCAGGGAGATGTATAGCATATAGCAGAAGACGCCTTCGATCCCAAAATGTAAATGTACATCTCCTGATACCTGATGTCATATATGTATGTGTGTCATTCCATAATCAGACTTTATTTACTCGAAAATAAAATGTTAACCAGCCCAGTTTTGACGGAAGTTGTGGTGTAACTCCTTTCCCGTATTGCCAATCGATAGTCATTATTCGTACGAGGTATATTATTACATAATCGGACAATTTTCATCTGAGATATACAAAAAAAAAAAAATCCAATCCAATTTGAGCACAATCTCTTACATTCTCGTATTAGCAGGATATGTCCGCTCTGCCCATACCTTTGCAGAGGATATAACTACTTTGTCACGTGTTGTGTAACGCATTGAAGAAGAGATATTTGACCTTAACATATAAAATCGTATACGTCTATCTTAGGAGTTGAACCATATCTTCATGAGCTTTGGCTAGCTGTGCTCTAATGCAGGGTCCAACTCTGTTACTCTGCAGCTAGAATCAAATTGTTAGCGAGAAACTGGCCCGATTTAACAAAATTTAACTGACATACATATAAAACGTGATCCACAATAGAAACTAATTGCAGGCCAAGCAAATTGCTTACAGCATGTTCCACTCTATATGGTTGTATGGTATAAAAGCCTGGGATGTTTTTCAACTGGTACAGCTCGGCCATATAGTGCTCGCCCTCTGTGCGTGTGTGTGTGTGTGTGTATGGCATGCAGCGAGGCACATTAATTAAATAAAAATTGATTTTTCAAGCGCATGAAATCCAATCAACGACCAGCTCCAAGTAGGGACAACAACGAGTGGCTCGCACATAAAGCTATGTCCTGGATCAGCGCATCAGCCTTGTAGCACCACCGCATCGCACCACCAGCCCCTCCCCACCGCCTGCCCACTGCTGGTGGTGGTGCTGCTGCTGCTGGTTGTCAAATGAAGTTAACAAAGTTTACGATTTTTTATATATTTTGCGTTCGCTCGACTTTCAATTTTTTTTTGGTATATTTTTTGTTGTTGTTTTTTTCTTTTTATCGTTTGCATAAGTATATAATATGAACATGGGACAGCTATTGTGGCGCTGGATATGCCATGCTTTATTTCTGGTACATGGTGCCGCATGCCGCATGCCGCATGCCACATGCGTTTTGTATCGCCTTCAACCATTGGCCACAGTTTAATGTGCGCTGTCGCCCTTTTTGTGCGGGCGGTATTTAAACCACAGCAAGTCATCAGGCAAATTGAATTTTCAACGTATGCTCGCACACAAACAGACACACACACACACACACACAGACGGGCACGCCCACAACTACAATGCCTGCCTTAAAGCTCTACTTGTTTTATATAGCACTTATAGCAACTACTATGCCCCAGTCCAACCGACTGCCCCTCTGGTGCCTGGTCAACGCCATTTGCCGTTTCGCTTCTTTCGTTTCTCGTTACAAAATTACCCACGATAAAAATTGAATTACTTCGTCGGCGTCGGAGCTGGAGCTGGAGCTGGAGCTGGAGCTGGAGCTGGAGCTGAAGCTGGCATCGCATTCTAGTCTTACGTTTGCCTCCTGGACATGGCGAGATCTGGGTCTGGGTCCTGGTCCTGGATAGCAGTGATGTCGCTCCAAAGTGTTATGCTTACTCTTGACGCGCCCCAGCCACGCCCACGTCTCAGCGAGACTACTTAGGCGACGTTGAAACTGTCGCCGAGCCTGGTCCTGCAGCCTGCACCCTGTCCCCCTGCTATCATTGTGTGTGTGTGTGTGTGTGTGTATGACTTCATCTAATGATAAATGAGCTGCAATGGATGACGGCGAATCAACTTAAGTGTATTGCTCTGCTTCGGTGACACTCTCCCCCCAGCCCCTCCTTTTCCCTTCGGCAGTCGTCTTGCGCTCCGCACCCGCCTGCCTAGCGTTTCATGCTCCTCTTCACTCCTTGTCCTGCTGCCGGTCTGTGCTTTTTTCAGCACACTGTCATCCAATGCACTTTCCCTTAACGCTTTTTGCTTGTGTTTACGTTTCACTTCAAATTTCTATGCTACACTAAATATTTACATAGGAAAAACTTTGCGCGTGTAAGTGAAACGCTTTAAAAATGCTCGGGGGAAAAACTTATGCGAATGTTTCGCCACTCATTAACTTATCGAAACTTATTTTATAGCAGGGCTAATTAGAGAGATTGCTATTTAATGATTCCAGCTGCGACCAGTTCGTTAAGAGAGACAGGGAGAGTGAGAGAAGAAAGTGATAGCGCTTGTGCCTGGTAAGGCTCAAGTTAGTTGCCAATCTGTTTAAGTGCATTGCTGTTCTCTTATCAGTGACAATAGTGTGACAGTCTGGCAACGCTGCGTTTGTGTGGCCATATGTGCAATGCAAGGTGGCAACACTAAACATCTAACGTCATCTTACATTAACAACATGTTCCTCTCAAAGTTCAATTATTATTTTACACTACAAAATCGAGTTTGATAACAGGTTAAACTTTGACTGTAACATTTGACTGGGAATAAAAGGTAGACTTTATTTTGGTTGCTGGGGTTGGCTTAAAAGCATAACATCAAAACATTGATTATTCTCCACAAGCTCCCATAAAATTCATCCAATTATTTCCAAAGAGCAATTTACACCGGACTTTATTATTAAATGCATATATAAATTATATTTTATTTGGCAAACTAATTGTTAAAATAAATAAACAAACAAAAAAAAAAAAAATTTTAAGTACATTATTGTAAATATATCATTGCTAATATCATTGAATTTATTTTGAGATTATATAGTATGAATGCTACAGTTTTCGTTTCCGTCTATTTGGTTCGGCATTGTCGATAGTCGTCTCTACTTGTGCAGACACGTGGCATCATCCTTGGACACGCACTTGAGAGTGCGGTAGTCGAAACGCTCCTTGTTATCGCAGCGCAGATGCACAAACCTATGCTTGCCAGACTTCTTGATCTCGCAGCGGTAATACTTTCGGCAATCGCGCACATCTGGATAGACGTCGTCCTCATCGCATTCCTCTTCATCCTTCAGCTTCTTGATAACGTTCTTAACGAATTGCTTTTTCTCCTTGGAGCTCAGATCGTCGTTGTCATCATCTTCATTGGATTTTTTCTGTTCGCTGTCTTTCTCCTCATTGGAATCCTTTGACTTTTTTTTGTTCTTCTTGTCATTCTTTTCCTCAGTAGAGCTATTGGATTTTTTCTTATCGTTTTCCTTTTCCTCCTTTGAATCTTTTGACTTGCTGCTGTCCTTCTTCTTATCCTCTTTCGATTCTTTCGGCTTGTTGTCCTTGTCCTTCTTCTCGTCAGAGCTGTTCTCATTAGAGGCAGGTTTCTTATGCTCCTGCTCCTTGGACTGGTCCTCAGCAGGCTTTGGCTTCTTCTTGTCCTTGTTGCTCTCTTCAACCGAGGCATTCTCATTGGAGATGGGTCCACCAGATGGTTGCTCTACAGACTCATTTGTTTCCGACTTGTTGCTGTCTGGAGTCGGGGCTGGTGTGGGAGCAGCGGTGGGCTGGGCAGGCTTTTTAGATGGCCGCCAGCTGTTGACCCAGTCATACCAATTCGGCCAGAAGGGCTTTACAGTCGGTATATTCTGGCCATTACCATTGTTACTGCCATTTCCGTTACCTGGTTGCTGGGGACGTTGCGGCCAGAAAGGATGTTGGGGAATTGGTCGAATGGGTGGTCTTGGGTGTCCTGGGTGCACAGGGTGAATGGGTTGATTCGGGCGCCATGGATGTGGCCATGAGCCCGGACGACCTGGATACGAAGGAACTGAAGGGACAGAGGGAACAGATGGGATGATGGGTATATTGGGATCAATTGGAGAATTTGGGTTCACTGGGGAGCTGGGATCAAGCGGTGTATTGGGATCAACTGGTTTGTTGGGATTCACTGGCGCGTTTGGATCGACCGGAGCGTTGGGGTCAACTGGTGCATTGGGATTCACCGGTGCGTTGGGATCAACTGGCGCATTTGGATCTACTGGTGCATTGGGATCAACTGGTGTATTAGGGCCCACTGGTGCATTGGGATCAACTGGTGCATTGGGGTCCACTGGGGCATTGGGATCTACCGGTGCATTAGGGTCCACCGGTGCATTAGGGTCCACTGGCGCATTCGGATCAACTGGTTTGTTGGGATTAACTGGTGCGTTGGGATCGACTGGTGCGTTGGGATCAACTGGTGTGTTGGGATCAACTGGTGCGTTGGGATCGACTGGTGCGCTGGGGTTGACTGGTGCGTTGGGATCAACTGGTGCGTTGGGATCGACTGGTGCGTTGGGGTCGACTGGTGTGTTGGGATCAAGTGGTGCGTTGGGATCAACTGGTGCATTGGGATCGACTGGTGTGTTGGGGTCCACTGGTGCATTGGGATCAACTGGTGCATTGGGGTCCACTGGGGCATTGGGATCTACCGGTGCATTAGGGTCCACCGGTGCATTAGGGTCCACTGGCGCATTCGGATCAACTGGTTTGTTGGGATTAACTGGTGCGTTGGGAACGACTGGTGCGTTGGGATCAACTGGTGTGTTGGGATCAACTGGTGCGTTGGGATCGACTGGTGTGTTGGGGTCCACTGGTGCATTGGGATCAACTGGTGCATTGGGATTGACTGGTGCGTTGGGGTTGACTGGTGCGTTGGGATCAAGTGGTGCGTTGGGATCAACTGGTGCATTGGGATCTACTGGTGCATTGGGATCAACTGGTGCATTGGGATCTACTGGTGCATTGGGATTGACTGGTGCGTTGGGGTTGACTGGTGCGTTGGGGTCAACTGGTGCATTGGGATCTACTGGTGCGTTGGGATCAACTGGTGCGTTAGGGTTGACTGGTGCGTTGGGATCAAGTGGTGCGTTGGGGTTGACGGGTGCGTTGGGATCAACTGGTGCATTGGGATCAACTGGTGCGTTGGGATCGACTGGTGCGCTTGGGTTGACTGGTGCGTTGGGATCAACTGGTGCATTGGGATCTACTGGTGCATTGGGATCAACTGGTGCATTGGGATTGACTGGTGCGTTGGGGTCGACTGGTGCGTTGGGGTCGACTGGAGCGTTGGGGTCAACTGGTGCATTGGGCTCTACTGGTGCGTTGGGGTTGACTGGTGCGTTGGGATCAACTGGTGTGTTGGGATCAACTGGTGCGTTGGGATCAACTGGTGCATTGGGATCTACTGGTGCATTGGGATCAACTGGTGCGTTGGGATCAACTGGTGCGTTGGGATCGACTGGTGCGTTGGGGTCGACTGGTGTGTTGGGGTTCACTGGTGCATTGGGATCAACTGGCGCATTTGGATCTACTGGTGCATTGGGATCAACTGGTGCGTTGGGATCGACCGGTGCGTTGGGATCGACTGGTGCGTTAGGGTCGACTGGTGCGTTGGGATCAACTGGTGCGTTGGGATCGACTGGTGCGTTGGGGTCGACTGGTGCATTGGGATCAACTGGTGCATTGGGATCAACCGGTGCGTTGGGATCAACTGGTGCGTTGGGATCGACTGGTGCATTGGGATCAACTGGTGCGTTGGGATCAACTGGTGCGTTAGGGTTGACTGGTGCGTTGGGATCGACTGGCGCATTTGGATCTACTGGTGCATTGGGATCAACTGGTGCGTTGGGATCGACCGGTGCGTTGGGATCGACTGGGGCGTTGGGGTCGACTGGTGCGTTGGGATCAACTGGTGCGTTGGGATCAACTGGTCCATTGGGATCAACCGGTGCGTTGGGGTTGACTGGTGCGTTGGGATCAACTGGTGCATTGGGATCTACTGGTGCGTTGGGATCAACTGGTGCGTTCGGATCGACTGGTGCGTTGGGGTCGACTGGTGCGTTGGGATCAACTGGTGCGTTGGGATCAACTGGTGCATTGGGATCTACTGGTGCATTGGGATCAACTGGTGCATTGGGATCAACCGGTGCGTTGGGATCAACTGGTGCGTTGGGATCGACTGGTGCATTGGGATCAACTGGTGCATTGGGATCTACTGGTGCATTGGGATCAACTGGTGCGTTGGGATCGACTGGTGCGTTGGGATCGACTGGTGCGTTAGGGTCGACTGGTGCGTTGGGATCAACTGGTGCATTGGGATCGACTGGTGCATTGGGATCGACTGGTGCGTTTGGATCGACTGGTGCATTAGGGTCGACAGGTGCATTTGGATCAACTGGTGTACTTGGATCGACTGGTGCGTTGGGATCCACTGGAGCATTGGGGTCCACTGGAGCGTTGGGATCGACTGGAGCATTGGGATCCACTGGCGCGTTAGGGTCGCCTGGAGCATTCGGGTCCACTGGGGATACAGTTGTTCCATCTTGATTTCCAGGGGCGTTGGGGTCAACTGGTGCATTAGGGTCCACTGGAGCATTGGGATCGACTGGCGCATTCGGATCGACTGGTGCGTTTGGATCGACTGGTGCGTTAGGGTCGACAGGTGCATTTGGATCAACTGGTGTACTTGGATCGACTGGTGCGTTGGGATCCACTGGAGCATTCGGGTCCACTGGGGATACAGTTGTTCCCTCTTGATTGCCAGGGGCGTTGGGGTCAACTGGTGCGTTGGGATCCACTGGTGCATTGGGGTCTACAGGTGCATTCGGATCGACTGGAGCGTTTGGGTCCACCGGTGCGTTAGGATCAACAGGTGCGTTGGGATCGACTGGTGCGTTGGGGTCGACTGGTGCATTGGGGTCTACCGGTGCACTGGGATCTTCCGGTGCACTGGGATCTACTGGTGCATTAGGGTCCACTGGAACATTGGGGTCGACTGGCGCATTGGGATCGACGGGTGCATTGGGGTCGACTGGTGCATTTGGGCCCACCGGAGCGTTGGGATCGACTGGAGCATTGGGGTCCACTGGAGCGTTGGGACCAACAGGAGCATTGGGATCAACTGGGGATACAGTTGTTCCTTCTGGATTCTCTGGGGCGTTGGGATCCACTGGAGCGTTGGGATCGACTGGTGCGTTGGGATCAACTGGTGCATTTGGATCTACTGGTGCATTGGGATCTACTGGTGCGCTGGGATCGACTGGTGCGTTGGGGTCGACTGGTGCGTTGGGGTCGACTGGTGTGTTCGGATCCACTGGTGCGTTGGGATCGACTGGTGCGTTGGGATCGACTGGTGCATTGGGATCCACTGGTACGTTGGGATCGACTGGTGCACCGGGATCCAGTGGAGCGTTGGGATTGAGTGTGACATTTGGATCCACTGGGGATACAGTTGTTCCCGCTGGATTCTCAGGGGCGTTGGGATCAACTGGTGCATTGGGGTCGGCAGGATCGATTGGATTTACTGGAGGAGTGGTGTCCACTGGGGTAACAGTTGTTCCTTGTGGATTCTCAGGGGTGTTGGGGTCGACCGGTGCATTGGGGTCCACAGGTACGTTAGGATCAACAGGTGCGTTGGGATCGACTGGTGCATTCGGGTCTACTGGGACGTTGGGATTGACTGGAGCATTCGGATCAACTGGGGATGCAGTTGTTCCCTCTGGGTTCTCAGGTGCGTTGGGATCAGTAGGTGCGTTAGGGTCTACCGGCGTGTTGGGGTCGACTGGGGCGTTGGGGTCAACTGGTGCATTTGGATCCAAAGGAGCGTTGGGTTCAGTTGGGGCAGTCGGGTCAACTGATGATATTGTAGTTCCTTCTGGGTCCACAGGTGTGTTGGGATTAATGGGTTCAGTTGGGGGTGATGTCGTTCCCTCTGGGCCAACTGGTGCATTTGGATCCACGGGTATGTTAGGATCTACTGGTGTATTGGGATCAACAGGGGATGATGTAGAGCTTCCAGGCGTTGGTTTTGTTGGGCGTGTTGGGGCACTTGTCTCCCAATTGGGACCGACGGTCGTAATTGGATCCAATGTGGCGTCAGTTGTAGTGTCCGCCGGCAGTGTTGAATCAGGCTCTGCGGGTGCATTAGTTGTTGTGTCAACAATCGGCTCTACAGTTGTCTGCAAGGTAGTATCTGTAGTTGCCTCCTCTGGCACATTGGTCGTCTCAACGACAACAGGGGTTGTGCCAATGGGCAGCTCTGTTGAATTGGCAGGAACTAGGCCCTCAGTGCTGTTGGAAAGCACATTGTTTGCAGAGCTGGTGGTAGACTCGATAAGTGCCGCCGAGCCACTGCCACCAATTATTGGATGGTCGGTGACTGTTGTCATCTTGGCCACCGCCGCTGAAGACGCCTCACCATCCGATTTGACGGGCACACAAATCTCCAGCCCATCGTTAATACAGAGCGTATTTGCTGGACAGGGGAGGACTTTGCCGGTAGCCACATCTCCCACGCAGGTCTGATAGGTGGCTGGTCCCACGCAGATAGCCGGTTGGCCGCTGCAGTTGATGTTTATGATCTGCGCACTGGTCTGTACGGCCTGTTGTCGGCTGCCGAGCAGTGCGGCTAACTATAGGAGACATTGGGAAAGAAAAAGAGGGAGAGAGAGTAAAGAATTTAGTATGATTAAGCTACTGGTCGCACTGGTGCACTGTTTGTCACAAGTCGGAGTCTCGGGACCGTAACAATTACACTGGTTTAGTTTCACTTGCATAAGATACTTTCGAGTCGCCGCCGAGTGCTATATACGATATCCAAAGTAGCAAGATTCCCGGCAGCTTTTGTTAGTTTGTTTGGTTTTAGTCACGCGTATCCAAAAGCCCGTAAAGTTGCCACACAAAATGGTTAATAAAATACAACTCATCAGTAACAGAAACAAAAAATATTAATTATTATTTCAAATTTTGATTTGAGGTTCTGGCATGACGATGTGGGGAACGGGATAATCGGGTTTTGGGTTCTGTGGCGCGTTAGTAGAGTTTATGCAATTACCACAAATAACATCAAAAACTTGAATATTTTGTTCGTCATCGTCGATGTGTAATGTATTTGGTTCGAATGAAAAATCGTTACTATCCTCTGTATTAGCAGGCAAGTCGCTTTTATTCAAAAACTTCCCATTCGCTCTTATCTCTAGCGAATCTGTTTGACGCTATGTAAATAGCCAATGATTATCTTTGTTTGTCCCAGATAAGTTTGCGACCAATTTATGATATTGCAGCTAAAATCTGAAACGGCCTAAAGCTGTTTGCGGCTGTGAGCTATTTTTTTCCGACTACACTTGGTAAATCTATTTATTTTTTTAACAGATTTTTTTCAGTTTCGTCTGTTTTTTTCCTCAGCTGACGCAATAGAATAAAAAACAAATTCGTTGTATGGATAAACACATTGGAATGTTTTTCGTTGTTTTATGTGATAAATAATAATCACACTCGGTAGATATCAAACACTCAGCTCCGATATTCTACAGAAAACTATTTTTAACAGGGCTTTTTTATTTATTTATTTTGTTCAATTTCTTTTTATTGTACATTTTAATATGTTTATTTTAAAATTCAGCATTGAGCAAATATGAGCAATATTTGTGTTTATATAAATGCAGACCTGCTCCATAAAATATTCAGGAGCAGCCAACTTCTTGGGCATGTCTTTATTGGCGTCGACAGTCTCAATATAGCAAATAAACTAAAAGGTAAAAGTAGGAGCTATGAATCAAAGGGAATTATCTAGGCTCAGTTTAACAAGCTGTGAAGAAGACCTTGTAACTTTGATATGGATATGAATTTCTGAGTAATTGAAATAATTTTTATATGTAGTTTTTAATGCTAAATTCTAAGTGGGCTATGCGATATGAGTCTGTGCTCGTGCAAATAATAATAATTAAATAATCTAAGCTAATAAACGTTATTATCTCGTTAGAGCTTCCGATGGTCATTAAGTTAAGCCAATGATGATATTTCACACATTTGTTTAACTGACGTACATAATCTTAATCTAAGCAAGTAGACCCTAGAGTTGAACTTGATAAACAAAAAACAAGAAATATATACGAGAAGGCTGCGCATTTCCTGTGACAAATTTGCGCTATTTGCCGAATTTTAAGAAAAATAATAAATAGAAGGTACAATTTCTTGTGCATCGAACATAAATTACCCTAATGAACTAGACACTCAAGTCTTTTTGAATGGTATAAAACAAAATAATAAGTGTATTTAAGGCAGAGGCATTTGACAATTAAGCTAATGGGAAGCTTCTTAAAGCCATAGTTTATAAAGAATTCAGATCTTGAATATGATTAAAGCTAACGCTCATTTATTTATTGCTTTGCATGAAGGGTATAATTATAGGGTATAGCTTGAATGGTCGGATAGTCGGATAGATATTTAATGCGCAACATATTTTTGTTGCTAACATGAAAACACACACACATAGAGTATTGGAATTGAGGTGCGGTAGTGCTTCGTTATTCTGTTCCATGGCTGGACTGGCTGGAGATGTGCCTCAGAGTGGATGCCAACATAGATCATGACTCAGACCGATTGGCTTATCTGGCGGACACATGATGCACATCTCACACTGATGTAGCTTTGTGTCTTGTGTCTTGTGTCTGTGCGCCAGCTTCTGTTTGCCAGCGGGTCTGCTAGCACCATTTTATGACGCAGGCACGCCCCCCCTCGAGCAGGGGGGGGAGGCAGTGCGTCCATCCAATTGAAGAGTTTTGTATCTCTTTTGCGTATGTTTTTGCAAGCATCATGATAAGGCCGAAGGTTGAGCGCATTTCGTATGCCAAACAGTAGTAACAACAGTAACAATGATCATGATCGTGAATTCGAGTGTGATAAGCTACAGCAACCGGTCCAAGATTACAAGCGAATACAGCGAATGCTGTCCAAGTAATCCTTATCGCACAGATGCAAGATCTATCAAGATAAGCAAACCGCCAGCGACGTCAGTTATGTGAATCCACGAGCCAACTCTGGACAGTCGCCGGCCCATCCGTTAATTGTCGTTCGCGTTGTATAACACACAAGCGCATGGTATTAGGCATTATTTATGAGCAAAGGTCCAAAGACCTTTTCACCCAGGCCATACTGACTAATTGTGGGCATTGGCTTAACATCTGGCGATTCCCAAAAGCAGGCACTGTTACGTAACAATATGTGCCGGGTGGAAGGGGAGAGTACATCAAACAAAAAATTGAAGAGCAATTTGTAGGCTCTCGTCCATGTTTCGCATTGCGTATGCCCTTTGACGCCGGCAATTCCATAAAATTGTTAAATTAAACGTCTTTTTTAATGCCCAATATCCAATCAACAATTCTTGAAAGGGTCTATTGGCAATCATGTACGATATGCACCGACAACATGTGGTATACTTAATATATATTCCACATTTCAGCAAATCTTCACTTCTTGTGTATACAAGAGATCAGATTTGCGATTTAGTTAGCTCTTATATTGACATAATCCGAATTACATTTCCATTTTATGAAGATAGGAAATCAATTTTCAGAAGAGCCCACGAATGCCACAGCACATACAGGGTATCCACGCAGCTCATCACATTCACCTGGATTATGCGTGCTTTCTTTTTTGCCAGTTGCTTCATTTAATGCGGTTAAACCATGGAATAAAAACGCAAATGCAATGCAGGCACTGCGGTTTTTCATGTCTAGACAATACAATAAATACAGTTAGCCATATATTTGTATTATCATACACATGCATACACCCATGCTCTCTATAGCCGATACATATATTTTATAATTGGCGTCAATTTGCTGGCTTATCGCCTGGCGGTCTCTGTCACAAAGTGTGCAACATTATGCACAAATGAGACGAACATTTTTTTTATTTTTTAAGTATATTCGTCAACCGTTTCAGAATCCAAAGCGTGTGACCCGAAAATAAAAAAACCTATATAGAATTAAGGCTAGTTACAGAATTGAAGCTTAGTTTTCAGGCCTGTTTAGCTTTATTTCGAGTAAATATCACACATACGCAGTGAGCATATTTTTGTTAAGAAAGTGTATGTGAAAAAAAGGTCATATTATAAGAAAATTGATTAGATATGCAAGTCTTGAACTCTTTCTTTGCTTATACTTAACTGCCAATATATGATACCTTCGTAGATGGATGAGGCAACACCTGAGCTTGGGTCCTAGCATTACCCGGGCTAACCTTACCTCTGCTAACTGAACTCCCGCCCCCAATTCTCCATGTAGTATGCGCGTTAGCTGCCCCAAAGACTTGACTGCTTATATGCCCACTTTACTAAACATATTAAGTATACCACTATTCAGTATACACTGCTCTGCTAATCTGCATGGAAATCTCTTGAGTCGATTAACCAAATGCTTATTATGGTTGCCTTTCTGTTGTTGCAATCCTGATCTGGATCCTTTCCTTGCCACGTCTTCTGCCCCTTTGGTCGCCTTTGGTATCATCGGCTGACTGTTGCTCTGCTTCGCATTAGTCTGGGCACACTTTGCGCTCAGCTGAAGGCTTCGCTTTGACTGGTGATGAGGCAAACAGTCGACGTGCTAATTCGTTGCGCACCCAGTTGAGCCTGTGGCTGCCGGATCTGGCAGGGTCCCCAGTCGACAAAAATGTAACCAGGACGCAGCGCACACACACACACACACACACACACACATGCACATAAGCCGTTGCTTGCAAATCAAGCAAAGGCCCGTTGTCAAGCGGGGACCAACTCCTGGCTCCCCCACCTCCTCACTCCGCTGACCACCACCTTTCGCTCCAAATTATGCAAGTCGTGTCGGTGACTCCGGCCGCGCTGCATCGCGTTAATGTTGTTGGCGTTGCGGCCGCGACTGCGGCGGCTGCTGTGGCTTTCAGTGCAGCGCTCGTGCCTCATTGGCGTTGCACAAAGCGGGCGGCGGTGGCTAAATTTGCATAAATTAACAATGTTTCGCAATTGCAGCCACTGATGCAGCGAATTCTTGTGACCAGCCACCCAGCGACCCACTCAAACGCGTCGCCGTCGCCCACATGCCCGCACATGAAGTATATGTGCGTTTGTGTGTGTGTGTGCGTGTGTGCGTGTGTGTGGGTGTGCTGTCCACCATGTGCAAAGTGCGCGTTTTATTGATTTGATGCTCCAATGCACTTATTATCCCTCAAGCAGCCAGTGCCAGTTAATCCCGTGGCGATGCGGCGCCATTTTACACAGAAAAACACACACACCCACACACGCACACACGCTCGTGTATATATACGCATTAGGGTGTGCCCGAAAAGTTGGTCAAGTGTGTGCAGGAGAAGGCTCATTAGTCAAACCAAGTGGAATTGGTAATGCGTGTATTTCGCAAACAAGTGGAATGAAGCACAGCCCCTTTATTATTCCAAGTATATAACACGTATTAGTTTTATAAATAGATGTGAATACAGTTTTTCGATCAGAAAAAAAAGTAAATAAGAATTTCAAAAAATATCTTAAACTTTTGTTTCAACATATTTACATTCATATTAATGCATTTCGTAAATTTTGTCATTCATTTCAAGTATTATTTAACTGCATTTCTCAATACACTTCGTCATGGATTTCAAAACTCTTGTCGACTTTTAGACCAAGGCCAATAAGATATATTTGCTTGAATATTTACCAAGCATTTTAAAATGTGCATGGCATTATTTAAAGCACCTTAACTGTGCTTAAGTTAAGCAATAGCCTTAAACAAAATTCACAAAATCCAACCTCTATCGCTCCATAGAATATGGAGAAAAACTTGAATTTGTTTGCAGAAATTTGAATTGCTAACTCCATGTGTGTGTGTGTGTGTGTGTGTGTGTGTGTGTGTGTGTGTGTGTGTGTGTGATAGATTAAAAATGGCTGCATTATGCTGTCAGTTAATTAAACAGCTAACAGCTGCGCACGCTAGGTGGCGTTTCGTGCATGCCTACTAGCTTAAAAGCTGATCGCGATTGACAATCGCTGTCATTCACAATGGACACACTTATCGATACATCAGAAAGTGTCGCATTTGCTTGCGGCCAGTGTGGCCAGCTATCGATCGCTGAAATAAATGTTGTTGTCACATATTTGAAAGCAGCTTAATTGCAATTAC